TAATAATAATAATATAATAATAATAATAATAATAAGTAATAATAATAATAATAATAATAATAATAATAATAATAATAATAATAATAATAATAATAATAATAATAATAATAATAATAATAATAATAATAATAATAATAATAATAATAATAATAATAATAATAATAATAATAATAATAATAATAATAATAATAATAAATAAGAAGAAGAAGTAGAAGAATAACAATGAAAATATGCTACTGTCTACTTTTAAAAGTGATAATACAAATAACCGCAATATTTGTCACTGTAACATACTTGTTGTTATTGTTGTTGTAGCATTAGTACTAATTAGTTTTAACTAGTAATAGTAAGAACAGCAATATAGAGGAGTAAATTGTTGGTTTAATTAACAAATTTGTAATTTAAATCCAATACTCTTTTAAATGTGATGAAAATGAAGCAAAAAAATGAAAAATAAAAAAAAATTGGAAAGGGAAGTGTGAGAGTTACTATGCCTTAAACTTTAGTCTCTTAATTTAAACTTTTCGAAAAGTTGAAAAAATTAAAATGGCTCCTAACATTCTTCATTGTTTCAACATTTTTCTTGTCCTTCCTCTATTCTCTTCTCTCACTCTCTCTCTATCTTTCTCTTTCTGTTTCACTTTCAGCATTTTCCTGTACTTTCTCTATTCTTTCCTCTCCCTTATTCTTTTTCACCCTATTCTCTCGCCAGTTATTCCCAACGTTTCTGTGTATAATTTTGTAGTCTTTTTTCCTTTTTATCTTCTCTAATTTTAATTTTTTCCCAAAACAGAGAGAGAGAGAGAGAAAGAAAGAAAGAGAGAAAAGGGGACGAGGGAAAGACAAAGAGAAGAAAGTATATGATCACTAATTTGATGCATTAAAAATGATAGTAGTAGTATTAACAATATTACTAGTAGTAACTGTAATAAGTGTCGAAGTATGAATTAGATATTTCATTTCTTTCTTTCTTTCTTTAAATAGGGAGAGAGAGAGAGAAAGCGAGATCTTTTGGGAATAAATTTCTCTCTCTTTATTTCTCTCCATTTCCGTCCTTCCTTTTATTTCATCCTATTCTTTTTTCTTTTTTCAAAAAAAAGAATCTTTTTTAAAACCAAATTACTCATTTTATTTTTGAGAGAGAAAGAAAAAGTTTTCGGTTATTGGAAAACTTTCCTTAAATACATTGAAATTTGCTATTATATGTGTATTATATATATATATATATATATTGATTAACTTTTATTGTTATTAATTATTGCATTACATATTAATCAATTTTTTATTTAAATAATTTAATTGGGAAAATGGCAATTAAAATTTGTTTTGGATTAGCAATCCATAATACAATAGAAAAATAAATGATTGAAATTTAAAGTATAATATCAATATTATTGTCAAAAAACATAGAAATATTTAGGACCGTTTTTAAAAAAAAGTGAATTCGAAGATTTAATGTAAATTTTTCGAAAAATTACTTGCATTAATAGTATTTTTATGAGAAATCATTGGTAGATTGAATGGAAATGACACATAAAAGAAAGTTAATGAATATCTTATACTAATTAATACCATTTAATTCTATACTTATATTTTACTGCAACTTCAATAGAACAATTTGTTCGTGTCACAATGTCATATCACTTCTTTTAGTTAGGGAATGAATTACTGTAATAATTAAAAAGAAAAAGGTGAGAAGTAGAAGTGAATGAATTCATTATATGCCATATAATTTTATACTTTATTGCGTTAATTTTAGCAGGAAAAATACTACATTATTACAAAAGCTAATTTATCCATTATAATATCATTTGATAATTGAAGAATGAATTACTGTAACATTATTTACACGGTAATATTTCATGCTAAACTTAAGTAGGTCAAGTCAGCAAAGCTTCGCTATTAATATATCAAACTATTTCAGGCTATATTAGAATATACATTGATAAAGTTAATCGTCGAATTTATTAATTGATTTGTACATGCATTACATTCTTGCCACTTTCCTTTTAATTCATAATTATTTCAACAAATTTGATTTAATTAATCCTTTTTTATTCCTTTGCGTTATCTATTAGAGATTATGGTAATTACTTATTTGTGCACTTATCCATACATAAATCATTATACGGTGAAAGGGTTCGAGGAGTTACAGATGATGGCGGTAGATGACCCATGACTCAGAACCATATAATAGAATAAATAGTACAATGACTTTATAGACGCTGACTAATCTTAGTACTTTTCTTCAGATGTTTATTGCACCAGAATTAATAATAATTAATAATAATAATAAAATAATAATAATAATAA